GCTGTTTACTGGAAGCATCATGGAACGGAATAGTATTCCCAATCCTCTATCACAGCTCAACGTAAACTCAAGGAAAATTCTTGCGCCCTTTTTCTGACCAAAAACATAAGCAAAATTAAAGCCTTTGAGAATCATATATATATATATATATATATATATATATATATATATATAGATATATTTAGAGGGGCTTCTCTCCAACTTTGTGATTGACAAGAATCAAGGGCACTTGGGACCTCCTTCTTTAGTCTTCCAATTGTTGTAGCAAGGGCATGCTTGTTTGTTGCCATAGGTACCCGGAGGCACGCACAAGCAAGTTGCACAGCACTTCAGACAGAAAAACATGCATGGCTTCTTGTGTGATGTTGCTGAGCACCTGTATGTGCATCTCGGACTGCAGTCTCGTGGATGAAGGCGATTGTAGCCCTCAGCTACGCTGGAAAATGTAATAAACAGGAGCAATGAGAAAATCAAGAAAAGACCAGCATTGCAGGGACGAGTACCCAATGCCATATTTCTCTTGCTTTTTTCTTGCTGAAACTAGAATATTGTGGTAGTAGAATAATGTTCACATGTTAGTATAGATTTTTCTATGTAGACTGTATGCCAGAGAGTGATTGTTTTAGTTTGAACTTTCCTCCTCTTGGTGAAATCCTTAGAATCTGCAGTTTGTTTGGCTACAATTACATGACTGGTCGATACACCAGCACTTTTTTTTTTTATGTATCCTATCAGACGACAAGGATTCTCCCTCCAATATAGAGTTGAATCTGTGAGCCAGCTTAATCTGCATCTGCTAACCGACGATTTTGTGCCTCATTCCAGGTGTGGATTTTAAGATCAAGCTGCTCACTGTTGGTGGGAAGAAGTTGAAGCTTACAATTTGGGATACCGGTAAGCAGATCCTATCATTTATAGTTTTGCTAACTGTTTATGGCAGCTTTCCAAATTCTCTTTATGAAGTTCTTTTGTGCAAATATGATGATACACCTTTACTTTTATTTGTTTTATTTTCCTATCATAGGCTCAAGTGGTAAATCTCTTTGGACATAGAACTAGCTGTAATTTCACAAAATACAGCAGGACATTTTGCTCTTTACCTAGTACAAGTCAAATGTTTGTACTTTCTCTACTGTTCTCAACATGCCGTGCCATCCTAATTAACATTTTCCCCAGAAGTTGTTATTATATGTAAATCTTCTTATCTGTCAGAAGGTTTTGTCTTGCCATCGCAGCTGATCATGCAACTTCTTCCTCCTTAAGATTAGAAACTGACAATCAGTCCTACTTCACCATGATCAGACCCAATTTGGGTTTGTATTCCTCTTTTTCCTAGTGCTGCTAATGGAAATTTATTGTTGGGATCCTTGATTCATGACTTAAATTAAGCTTAGCCTCCTTTTTCATAAATAATCCAAGCTACTACTTTCTGATGATAGTACGCCCCTCTTGCTATTTATTTCCACTGTCCTATTACTGCATATTTTGTTCTCCGTGATCTGATGGGGCTCATGACACCTTTTGCAGCTGGACAAGAGAGGTTCAGGACCTTGACAAGCTCATACTACAGAGGTGCTCAAGGGATCGTTCTTGGTATGTCATGGATAGATCACTATAGATTCTTTCATATTTATGAAGCCTTTTTGTCATCCTGCAAAATAAGTTATTCTTTTAAGACGTGATTGATAAGATGAGATTTTGTTTATTTAATTGCATTATCATCGTTCTCGGATTTCTGGTCAATTTATGGACTACTGTTGCTTAGAAAAACAAAATACACATAATCATTCTTTTAACTTTTGAGCATTGGCCATTTTTTAACATTGCTGAACTCTATGCAAAATTTGCTGTTTCTCTTGTCGGAGAATTTATTTGATCATTTTCCTTTTGCAACATGGTTGGTAAGGTTCCTTCATGCATGTTTCTTTGTTTGCTTTAAGAACAGACTGCTGCCATCCCAATTCACAGTCCAGAGTTTTTCCATTTTGTGGGAGACTCTTCCCAGTTGAGTAATATGAAGTTGTCCATAGTAGGCATTGTCTATGCAGTCAGTTGGTATTCTGCCCACAATATTGTACGGTACTGTGAACCTTTAGGTTTTTATAGTACTGTTTCACTAAGATGATCATCTATATGTGCTCTTGGCACTTCCTTTTTGTAAAGGAAAGCACTTGTAACCTTTTTTAGAGCTTAAAATTAAAAGAAGCTATGAGTCCTAAATCATATGAGCATGATAGGACCTGTATATTTGTTGAAACTGAAATTTTTGTACAAATAATTTCCAGTTCGAGCATTGTCAATCTGTTTTGGAGAAGTGTCATGCAATTATTGATGAACTTTAGTAACTTTTTAATTAAAACTAGTAAGTATATGCCTGAAAGATAAGTTTTAGTCAGAAATACAAATTTACACTTTGAGTAATTTAATTTACTTTTTATTTGACAAAATTTACTTATGGTTGAATCAAACTTACTACTACTAAAAGTAAAAAATGTACATATTTAAGTAAAAAAAAAATTACCGGTTCCTGAAAACGGTTTTGGGTTCCTGAAACACTTTCGGGTATCACCTATCTCTTTAAAGTCATCTGCCTTCTTCTTATTTAGTCCTCAGTTCCAACGATACGATTGAATTCCCAGGCCAAGGTTTCCACTTTGGTCCACACTTTCTCTTGGTTACAATTGAATAAATTTTCTCACTTCACCTTTTTCATCTTTAGTTCACACTTTCCCTCTATCCTTTCTCATCGATCGGTTGGTTTTGGGTGCTGCCATATGCAGACACAACAAAAGGGTTTTGCGACGGTGGTAGCCAATCAAAGAGAGCAGTGCCGAGGTTAGTCCATCATGTCCACCTGAAATCGTTTGACTACATTGCTGTAATTTATTTATATTTCATTTGTTTTTTTGTCAAGATTTTCTTGCGAAATCAAGGCTGAGAATTTGAAGATTTTATTGCAATTTTGGGGCTGAAAATGTCCGTTGAAACATCTAGGAAATGGTTGTAGTTTTGATTGTCTACGGGTAAAATATGCTTAATAGCCATATGAAACATCTAGGAAAGGACTTGAGACTAGACGTTTAAGTTAAATGTGATTAATTTGTGAATGCATATAAGATGTTTGGTGAAATGTTTCATATTTCACTGCATTTGGTCTTTGGCACTCCATTTGTTGTCAGGAGAATTTCACTTTCAGTTCTTTTCATGTTATTAATTCTTTATTTTATCCCTAACATTGAGGACAATGTTATCTTAAGTGTAGGAGAGGGGTAGAAAGGTTAAGTGAAATTTATGATTAAAATTTTAAAAATTTTTGTCGATTTCCTGAAAGGCAATGGCTTATATTTCAAGTTTTATTACTGTTAGGTTTGTATTTGTGTATGTGTTAAGCGTTAAATGGTGTTACTATACAGCATTTCTTTGGTGAATATTTGGTATTATGAGATCTTTTCAATTTTGGCTAACTTTTCTAGGCATTGTAAATAATTTTCTAGCATTTTTATTGTGAATTTGGCCTAATTATCAATCTTAGTTCCCCATATTATTGAGATATGAAGTATGCTTTTGTATTAGGGTAAAAAACAAAAGAGCCACCTGTGGTTAAGCGAATATACGAAAAAGCTCATTGTAGTTTTGAAACATACAATTCAGCATCTCATAGTTTGAACCAAATTGGAGAGGTGATAGAAATTGTCAAAACTAATGTGGATAGATAAAATGACAAAAATATCCAGATATATATAAGGATAAAATGCAGAAAAATCCCCTATGGTTAAGCCAAATTACAGAAAAGTCCATTGTGGTTTCAAAATATATAACATTTATCCCTGTCATACATAAAATAGTTGTTCTAGATTGATTAAAATCTGTATGTGGGATAGCACCATAATTACAAAAAAATTCACAATCATCCTCTTTTGATGGCTTTGTCGACCTTGACAATTTTTACTTTCGCTTTTCATGAACACTTACAAATCTTATACTAGTATCGTAGGGTCTAGTTTTGCTTGCTGACTCGAAAGTTTGAGAAAGATATAAGTAACTATTTTGTCAAATTTTCCTTCACTTTATACAAAAAAAAAAGTAGACTCTCAAAATTCTTACTTTAAGTTCTTAAAAAAGACTCTAAGATAATATTATAATAGTAAAAACCCAAATTTAAAACTTTTACCATATCCCAAAAGTAGTGTACATAAGACCCGCGGTTGATTTCTATCAAGAATATTTACTCTTTTTCCAATATATTTCCTGAAAGTTTCGAATTAAATCCAACGTATATGTTTCGAAGCTATAGAGGGCTTTTTGTAGGTTAAGTTAACCACTAGGGGCTTCTCTATAAGGGGTAAAATAGGTATATCAAATGAAAATTAATTATAAAAAATTGCTTTAAGGTACTATTAGTTGCAAAGCAAGCGCATGTGCCTCAAATACGTTAGTTTTAACGATTTTCATCATCTTTCAATTTAATTCAAATCACGAGATGTCGGATTGTATGTTTTGATATCACATGGGGCTTTTCTATATGTTTGCTTAACCATAAATGACTTTTTTATTTTTTACCCTTTGTATTATTGCTTGTGCTTTTATGTTTAGTTTATTACATTGAGCTATAGTCTCTGGTTTTCGTTACCTAGTAACCGGGGGTCTTTACCTAAAAATGTCGACTTTTGCATAAAAAAGTAATGATAGCTATGAGTATTTGATTCTTTAGCGATGAAAATTGAGTTACTAGGCTGTTTTATTTGGGAGATATTGGAGTTCGCATCAAAAGATTTGAATGACTAAGAATTAAGAATTAATCTTTGGGTTCCAATCTTTGGGTACGATCAACTTGAGTATAGATTGCGTAGGAGTCCAAAGTTGTAATATTTTCATTTGTATTGCAAAGAATTTAAGTAAAAATCTCAGAAAACATACATCAACACAAACATTGACTTGATAGCCTCTTTGACTGACATGACAGCATCTTTGACTTGATAGCTTCTAGCATCATGCTGAAAATGGAAGAAATGACAGCTCATGTAGATGAACTAGAACAGTTATCTAACAAATCGGCCAAGCTTGGTGGTGGTATAAGTTGGAGAACCATTGTTGATCGGCTTGACAAATTATCTTCTGATGAAATTCAAGTATTAACATTTGATTCCATTGAAGATGCCAGAGAATTTTACCTATGTCATAGCAAAATGGTCGGTTTTGGTATTAGAGAGCGGGATGAAAAGAAAGATCGGAAAGGTATTGTGACATACAAACGATGGGTATGCAACAGAGAGGGCTTTAGAAATAGCAAATGGTTAAATTTAGTTAACCGTAAGAAAGAGGCAAAACGCCTTACGAGAGTTGGTTGTCTGGCAACTATAATTGTGCAATGGAACAAGGATATTCAGAAGTTTACGATTAAGCGGTTTAATATGGATCACAATCACCAATTGGCAAATCAAGAATTTGTACAATTTCTTCGATCACATAGGAGTGTCAACCCAGCAGACTTGGAGCATGCTATTTTGATGCATGGAGTTGGTATTCGAATTCCTCAAATAGTGGACCTTCAAGCTTACCAAGCTGGGGGCCACAACAAGATGGGATACACAGAAAAGGATCTACGAAATGCTGTTGACCAATTCCATAGAAATGCACTTGAAGTTGGTGATGCCTCTCAGGTGTTGGCATATTTGGATGGTCGAGCAAATGGTGAGCCAAAATTCTTTTACAAGTATGTTGTTGACGTGGAGAAGCGATTGATACGACTCTTTTGGACAGATTCTCAATCTCGTTTGGATTACCAATGTTTTGGTGATGTTCTTGTCTTTGACTCTACATACCGCACCAATGCTTATAGGAAGCCACTAGTAATTTTGGCCGGCGTAAATCATCACTATGTTACCAAAATTTTTGGGTGTGCATTAATTGCTGATGAGACTGAGGACACATATAAGTGGGTATTGGAAACATTTTTGGAGGCCATGGAAAAAAAGGCACCTATCTCAGTTGTCACTGATGGGGATGGTGCAATGAGAAATGCAATAAAGGCAGTTATTCCTTCTGCCCGTCACCGATTATGTGCTTGGCATTTAAAAAGAAATGTTGTTACCCATACAAATAAGGGGTTCGTTCTTGATTTTGATGTGGCAATGGACATGATTTGTAGCCATGAAGAGTTTGAGAGAAGGTGGCATTTGCTAGTTGAGAAACACAATTTGAGAGATAACCAATGGGTTGTCGATTTATACAACAAAAGGGAAAAATGGGCTGCTGCATTTTTGAGAGGACACTTTTTTGCTGGAATGAAATCAACCCAAAGATCAGAGCAATTGAATGCTACGGCGCACAAGTACCTTCAATTCAAAATGCTACTTTACCCGTTTGCTCATCGATTTGAGCTATTTTTATCAAAAGTTAGGCGGAATGAACACAAGGAATAATGCATCACAAGTCAGTCATCTCCTGTTCTAATTACTCATTTGAGAGAATTGGAAGGAAATGCTGCAAGCATTTTCACAAGAAAGATTTTTTTCAAGATTCGTGATGAAATTTATGCTGAAGCCTCACTTCGCCTCGTTTCAGTTGTTGATCAAGATAAGGTGAAGTTATATACATTCACTGAGTACTTGCATCGAATTTGCTCTTGGCAAGTGGAATTGGATAAATCTGAAAGGACTATTATTTGTTCATGTAAGAAACTTGAGTCAGATGGAATTCCTTGCTCCCATGCGTTTGCAGTTATGAAAGCTGAGGATATGGACGAGATTCCTAAATCATGCATTCTGTTTAGATGGACTCAGCAAGCAAAGCCAGCCGAAAAAAACATATATTCTATTCAACTTGAAGATTCAGCAATTCAAGCAGCTCGATTTGGTGCTTTATGTGCATTAAGTAATCAAATGTGTTTTTATGCAGTTAAGACACAACAAGGATATGATGAAGCTAGAGAGTGCATTATAAATTCAACATCTCGTTTCAAAAATCTTTGGGTGAATGATGCGCCTCTAGTGCATAAAGCTAAAAAAAAGGATAATATGATGGATGAGTCCATAAAGAGGAGTGATTTTGATGTTCGTGATCCAATTGTTGTTGCTACAAAGGGACAAAAGGCAAAACATTCTACTCACAAGCGAAAGCGACGACAATGCAAAAATTGCAAGTAATCGTCTACTCTTAAAATTGTCTTATTCTACGGTTAGAATAGCTTTTCAAAACTAGATATGAAATGTTAGCTATATATGAAATGTTAGCTATATATGTTAGCTAACATTTTTGATCCACTTTATAATTTCATTCTTTATGTTTATGGATTGTGCTTGGCAATTTTTCTTCCGCAGGTCATTTGGACATGATAGACGGAAATGTACTAAACTGTGCACGGATGCATATGAAACTCACAATTATGATCATGTTGGAGCACCTGATTATGTTGACAATGTAAATTCGAACCTGATAGGATCATCCTATGGTATATTGCAATCAGATTCACAGCATGGATGCAATAAGGAGTTAATGGATAGTAACTGGTTTCAGATCATTCCTCCTGGTCAGGTAATGTATAGCTTGCTTTTATTTTTGTGTCAAGACATGAAATATAATTGTGCTGTATTTGCATTTGTATAGGCATTAATGTGGGCATGCAATCCTTCATTAATCCAAAGTCATGTACGAAACACTAGCTTGTTAGGAGACGGAAATATTTAGGTACATTTTTTCCTTCTTCATGCCTAAGTTTTGTGTTACCCATTTGCTATGATTATGTGTTGTTGTGGCCTTTTTTTAATACAAATCTTGTGATGGTCAGGTTGTGAATGAACCAGATTTCAGCCAAGACCATTAAGGAATTTTATTCTTGAGAGGGTACAAATTTTGCAGATGGACTTTGCTCAAAAATTGGCGGCTGATTTACGTTTCTCCGAGGGTAGTTTAATGCGTTTTAATTGTAAATCTGAACACAATCTCCTTAGTTTGCAATGATTGGTGTTTACTTGTTTGAATGTGAATAGTTTCAGCATCCAAGTGCTCTTGGATTTGTAAACCAGAAATTTCTATTCAAACTGAAGCTTTTGATAGTGATTTCAGAGCCCTTGATTTGCAGGTGATCATATTCCCAAATGAAGTTACTAGCCTCTTGATTGTTTCAGTTTTATGAACCCAAAGTCTTTGTGCTCTAAATTCAGTTCTTGGCCATGTAATCTTGTCATGCTTAGATATCTATATCTAGTAACCTGCCGCCTTAATTCTGTTGCGTAAGTATTAGTTATTAAAAGTTAGTAAATTATATAAAATCTGAGGTTGCCATTCTTTGTTTCGGCCAATTTGCATTAGATGGACCTTTGTTTAGTCCAACTACTAAATAAATTGGTGAGTAGATTATTACTGACGCTCAAAATGAGCCGTTTCATCCTATTTTGAAATACTAGTTTCTCGAATAAATGAATTATCTACTTTGATTTTTTCGAACATTAAAATAGGTATAGGTGGTTTACTATAGAAATGTTTCTCACATGGCTTGTTCTGCTACTAAAGCTTAGGGGCTTGAAGCACGCATACGTTTTACTGTTATTCTTGTCATCATTTGGTTATTTCCGCTCCCAGATATGCTAAAACTGAAAGTCATGTTCTTTTTCAGGACTGGATATCTCGCCAGGACGGAATAAGTGAAAGGAAGCAGGGAAGATTAGCATTAATCATGAAATTCCATATGGATGGTTCTAGTCAAACATGGGGTGCATCGGACACAGTCTCTCTTTTTGTCTTAGTTGTTATAGGTGTTTTCTGATTGCGCTACTACTTTTGTAGTTGTGACCCTGTCACATTTTGTTCAGCTTAGTCAGGGACTATTATGCAGTAGTTGTTCTAATGCTTAACCATAATAAAACCTCGGTAGTTTTATATAAGCAGCTACTTACTACATTAGAATTCAAGTAGGACGCAGGAGAATACCGCTTCTCTCTTCAAATATAAAGCACATCTAGTAAGATAGGACAATAGCAAATATAAAGCACGTTCTTCTGCCTTATAAAGTACTTGGTATTCAGCTAGAAATAGCCAAACTAAATTACAATTTTTTCCAACTATGAATACTTTTATTGATCATCTTCTCTGCAAATGATCTTGTAGAAGAAATCCCCATGCATTCTTACGGTGTAGGACCAATTCCATTGCAATGGTAAAATGTTCAGTCTCGGATTGAAACTGAAAATTCATGACACCATAATAGAATTAGTCAGTTAACCATGCAAGTAAAGATAACTGTTACAATGACATTTAAAATTATTCACCACAAAAAACTCATATTAAATTACAAAACTGTACCATGAGTGAACTCATTTGTTCCACTTCAGATGACTTCATGAAATTAATAACGTATACACCACAATCATAGCTGCATGTAAATCAATCATCACAATAAATGAGAGAAGGGATTCCAATGCACAACACAACAGCATAATTAATGAAAGTTACCCATTCGGCTGTTTAGTAATGTTAGCAGATTCGTCAACTTCAAATAACGATGCCTGAAACTTGTACTTATCCCCAAATTTGTGCTGTAGTACAGTATCAAGATCTTGCACCTATTATCCAAAAATAAAATCACGATTGTAACACAAAATGTCCATATCATTATTTGCTACACAACTTAAAATGATACTTACTAACTTTCTAACCACAACACCTCGTTGCTTTGTTGAATTAGGCAACGAATCCAGTATGTACACCTTCTTTTCAACAAAGTCAACTAGTGTGCAATACCAATGTTGGTTATCTTCATTTATTGGCACAAATATCTGCAAGAACATGTAATTGCTTAATAAAAATTAGTGTAAAACCCAAAAAAAATGCATAAATTTTAAACATTATTTAATGAACCTTCTCACACATCTCAATGTCTCCTCCATATCTATCAGCATCAAAATATATTGAAATAGTAGTAAGGTCAGGTTCGGCATTTTGTAATTTGCACTGCACAATTTTACCAAAATTTACAAAATTATCAAAAAAATATGAATTAATGACAAACATAATCCGTTAATGATATGTCAACCTACCGTGAAGAAAGTTGGCATGTACCATGTGTTATATGTTTGATCTTTATGGTTCTCCTCAAACTCTATCCGAAGCATGTTTGCAACAAGATTGATTGGCTGCAAATATATTACAATTCACCTCTACCCCGTACAATCATCATATGTTGGATAGTATATCTACCTTCAAAAATCAGGTTTTAAAGCATTAGAAAACTCACACTTTCAGTAAGCCAGGTTCTCGGTTTCAAGCATGCCAGATCACTTCTTGAGGCAAACTCTTGTCCAATATGCACAATTGGTTCACTGCAAATAATTGTTAATTGTGTCTATAATTAATAACAATGATAATGCTAAAATAGTTGTTATGAAAAATCCATTATTATCCTTAAATATATTACTGCTGATTATATTTTTCATTAAATATGTAGTCCAGGATTCGCGCTTTATCATTGGAAAACTGCTGCAATATATACTTTTCGGCAAACATTCTTTCTTGCCCTGCAAGCTGTTTAATAACCATATGAAATGTAAAAATTATTTCAAATATGTATCATAAAGATGTAATATGTTAAATGTATCATTTGAAATGAAACAACCATATTGCATACCTTGTCTTCAATCGGCAAATAATTTTTGAACTCTGACTGTTTATTGAGTTTCCTTTTCTTAGTTGTGTTATTGCTAAGACTTGAATCTGTGTTCTCCATATCATTGGCATTATGTTTGATACCTATATCATCACTTAGTTCCATAAGAGAGGCAAAACTTGAATCTGCTCTTACTTCCTGTTCTTCACACGCAGTGGAAGAGTCTCCCATATTAGCTAGTTCCTTTTTATCGCCATCAGAATAATCCCTCAAATGATCAAACAAGTCATCAAGTCGGACGTTTTTATTGCTCTTCACAATCTGCGAGTCAACAAGGGTGTTGTGATTTTTCCTAACCATGCGCATCACTCCTTTTCGAAAGTCTTTTAACACACCATATTTATCTGGAGGGGACCCTAAAGGTGGCACTTTATAATGATTAGGACCAAATAGTGTGTCAAGTGATTCTTCTTTACGTGCAACAGGTGAGCGATGGATTTTCGGATCAATTTCTTCATCCACAGGACCGCCTTTATTTTTAATGCTAGAGTGACTAGCACAAGTCTGCCTTTCATTGCAATATTCTATATTTTGCAAGTCATCCTTATTATGCAATGATGTCTCCTTCTTAAATTGACCAGATTGCACATGCAAATCATTTTGCATCGCAATCATAGTAGACAACTCATAGACCGCCGTTGCAAGACTGTCAAGTTTGTCGTTAATCTTCTCCAATGTGTCATCAACCTTGTCAAATTTTTTAGAATAATGTTTATCCAAAATGGGCATAATATCTGCTATGTAAGCCATTGGAGAGGGAAT